GGTCTTACCTTAAATAAGATATGTACAAAAAGGTTGACTGCATTCATGGCTGTAATGGCTTATCAATCCAAATGCTTGGAAACTTTAAACTATTTTTAGCTCCCAATTTTGAAAGCCAAAATTATGTATTTCAAAGTGTAATTTTTCAAGGAGCACTTCTTATCTAGAAAAGTACTCAACTATGTGTTTTTAAGCTAAATTGATTCTGTTGAAGGCCTTGTTAAGGAAGGATTTGATGGGTGAGCTGGATCTGGGCCAAACTCTGCATCCTGCCAGACTGAACTCCTTGAGTTCTCTGACTGCTTAAAGACAAATCTGTCATTACTTGGCTCGGGCTATTTGGAAGTTCAGATGGCAAGAAGTTCAATTGTTCTTCCTGTGCATGGTGCCCCTGAAATCAATTTGGTATTTGCTGCCAAATCTAAAATAAGAGCAGACCTCAGGTCAGTGTCTGGGTAGGGACAGCCTGTACCACCACAGGGTCAGCTGCCACCTGAGGGGACTGAGGGAATAATCCTCAGAGCCGCCTGAAACCAATGCCAAGACCCAATTTTGGAAGTGGCTTATTCCAAGACAAGCAGGGGACTCTGGGGCCTAATCACACAGAGGATTCTCTGCAAGTGTACCCTCGTTTATAAGTGGATTGTGATCCTCGGCGTTTGTTCTTTGTCTCAAAAATAGCTGACACAGAAAAAACTCTTTCCAAAATGCTTACCTAATAAAGAAGTGAAAATGTGATTGGTTTTGTTTATTGAGCACACTTGTTAAAAATGAATGAGGAAACCCATGACATTGAGGACCAGGCTGTTCTTTGATGCTCACTGACCTCATTCATTCTTTAGGTGTTGAGCAAAGCAGGTCACTACAGTTACAGAAATGAAACAGGTTCCACGTAATGAAACAATTACTTGCAGAGGAAGGGCCAGTTTTCTTTGTTTCTAGGTCACAAAGGAGCCAGTGATCTGCTGAGTTAATGAGCTGCCCACAGCTTCCACCAGCCTGGACACACAGAGTGTTACCTCACAGTTAACTCACCACTTACTCCGTGAGTAACAGTGGGATCCAGGCCCAGCTTATGTTCTTCACTTTCTTAACTTCCCAGGAACCAACCAAACATAACTTGTGCAACACAAACTCCTGTTTTCTGTCTCTAGGTGACTAATATTTTATTCCATCTCCCTTACCATTGATCTCCTGAGCAACTGGCCTGGGTGAATGCACAGGATCAGAACTCTTCCTATCTGAGCAGTACCTTTTTCCAGAGAGAGAATTCCATCTGAAGAGAGAATTCCATCCTTTTCTCTCACAGTGGTTAGAAAATAGCTGAGCACAAGCATTGTGGATGAGCTACTTCCATCTAGAGCCACTGTTTAATTTGTGCCTCTCCAGTGTCACCCACAGCAACAGTAAGTTGTTACTTGCCAGAGACTTCCTCATTATCACCATAGGATAAATTTAATATTCAGAGAGAGGTAAAAAAAAAAAATCCCAAACCAACATAGTTCTATATTATGCAAGAAAAGCCACACACCAATTACCTTTGAAACTGAAGAAATGGTTATATTGTCCAGATATAGGAAATATTTAATAAATATAGGTTAAAAAGTTGTTTTAAAGCATTTTAGTAAGTTTTTCTTTGTAAATAAGGTCATAGAAACAGCTGGTTAAATACATCCATGTTCCATTATCCTGTTTATTTGTAGCAAATGTATCAGAAAAGTGACTTCACCGTTACTTGTAGCAATTTTACATTTGTCAAAAAACATCACGACATTTAAGTGGACGTACAAGAGTAAAAAAAAAAAATCAAAGAGAATAGGGCTGGAATTTTTAGTGCTTTCAGCTTTCCTTGATTTATCTTTTGACATGATGGAAGGTCAGGGTTTACAAAATGGTTTTTACAAAATTTTGGGAGTGTGCAGTTCAAACCCAGCCTGGCCAGGGCACTTCCAGAGGGGAGTTCACTGCCACAAATCTTCCGTGCGACCAAACTTGAAGACCAGTCCTCTGTTTAAAACAGAAAAAAGGGACATAATGAGCACACAAGGGAGCAAATCAAGCCCCTTCTTATTTTAAAAACATGATTTCAGGGAGCAAACTGTGGTATTTGAATCCACTTCTTTGTCCTGCATGAAACCTGTGCAGACAGATCCCAGAGATCTGCTGCCTTCACCAGTTTATTCACACAGGTCTGGTTACAGTTTTTGTCATAAAAACCAAATTAGATAAGAAACAAACAAAGGAAGATAGGCTTACCCAAAAAAGATGAATGCATTCTGGAAAAACACAGCTATTCCTGGGTATACCACTGGTTTTTCTAACAAAAGAAAAAAAAAAATCTCTGCAAATTTTTTTGGAAGTGATTTTCAAGCATATCCCATTTCTGACACCTTTTGCTAATTTAGCATATAGGCTCTGGGAGCAATCTTCACAAACTCAGTAATTTTTGTTCTGGGAATAAGTCCTCACCCAGGGAATTATTCCCATAAAACTGCAGCAGTTTAATTATATTTGTCCAGTTCCCAGTGGAGCAAGACCTGTGTTTCTAGAGGGTAGTCAGAAGTTTGTGACTTAGAAATAGAAAAAATCCCTCCCAATGTTAATACAATGGGATAGTGGTGTGTAGGGAACTAAAATATTCAAACAGGGACTGCCTAGAAACTATATAAAAATAAGCTCTGAAATCCAACAGCCATTTAAAATATTTTAAACTTCCAAAAACGGGTCAGGCCTTACCTTTAACAACGTAGCCTCCAAACAGGATCCACATGGAAGCAATGAGAGATCCAAAAGCCATCATAAACCCAATGAACAGCCAGATCCGAGCCCCTGGAACGAGACAAGAGGGATGTTTGGCTGAGGATGGGCATCGTGGCTCTTGTCTCAGGCACACAAAGCACACCCTGGCACAGCTCTCCCAGTTTTTCCAAGGCTCAGTGGATTCCCAGGTCTGTACCTGTCTGCCCCAGGCAGCCCTCGCTGTAACTGTCCCCCCGCACCTGCCCGTTGGACACCGCGTTGATCCTGAGGGACAAAAACGGGAGAAAACGGGATAAATCCCCTAGTTTGAAGCCTTTTATTAATTGCACAAAGTAAGTTCTAGGAGTGTGTAGCTCTGATCAAGGAATGGCCCTTACATCAGGAATGCAATGGTGGCTATAACCCCACAGGCATGGTAGGAGTGGTTGAAGTCTTCCACTTTAGGGTATTTCACAGCTGCATCTATGATTATCCACCAGCCTGTAAAAAACTAGGGGAAAAAAAAGAAGGAATATGGCTTAAAGTACAGACACAAGCCCTTTTACAATACCTAAGACTGCTCTAGAAAAAAAATAACACTAATATATAAAATCATTCTTACGATCTCCAGCAGGGTAAAGGGATGGTATAAGTACTTTTGCTGTTGGCTTGGGAACAAGGTCGGATGCAAAGCCAGAGATTTCCCTACTCCAACAGTTACTCCACGAAGCTTAAGAAACACGTGGATGCAAGAACCCAGAGCAGATTTTGTTCCTAACTTTGCTGCTAGGTACGAGGACAATGTATCCCCGTTCTTCCTTTTCACAGAAGTGTTCAGGTTGGAAAAGCCCTCCACAGTGGTGGAGTCCAACCACTAACACAGCACCACGGTCACCACCAAACCGTGTCCCCAAGTGCCCCATCCACACGTTTTTTTGAACACTTCCAGGGATGGTGATTCCACCACAGCCCAGGGCAGCCTGTTCCAATGCTTCCAGCGAAGAAATTTTCGCAAAAATCCAACCTAAGCCCGCCCTGGCACAACTTGAGGCTGTTTTCCTCTCATCCTGCCACTTTGGTACCTGGAAGAGAGGAGCCTTCCAAGCTCTAACAATCTTTAGCTCCTGACAGCTGACTACACCTAGGGGGCCTGACAGCAGGGCAAGCACAGCAGTACCAGCACTCCCGCGGCCACAGAGGCGATGGTGTTCCGCTTCTCCCCCCAGTCCACGCACTCCGAGCACCTCAAGCTCTCCAGAAAACCGGACATTTTTTTCAAGCACTTGGAAGAACTGGAGGGAAAAAAAAAAAACACCAAACAAAAAAAAAAAAAAAAAAAAAAAAAAGGGGAGGTTTATTTCCGAGAGGAAACCATCGGGCCGCGCAGGGGAGGTTCGAGCCGCCTGAAAACCGCACGGCCCGTGTGGAGCGGCCAAAGCCCCGCCGGTCACCGGCCCCCGCGCTCGGGAGGGGTGCGGGGGCCGCGGCTCTGTGGGCGGGGAAGAAGCCCCGCGGTCCGTCCTGCTCAGGGCCCGCGGTCACCGGCACCTCCCGCGCCCCCCACACTGCGCGCCCCGCAAAACCCGCGCACCTCGGACGCGCGCATCCCCCACGCTGCGCGCCCCGCAAAACCCGCGCATCCCCGACCCGCACGCCCCCGATCCCGCACCCCGCGCACTGGGCACTCTCGCCCCCCACACCTCGATCCCGCACCCCGGGTCCCGCACCCCTTCACCCCGCACACTGCGCACCCCCGACCCGCGCAACCCCCCAAACTGCGCATCCCACCAAACCGCGCATCCCCGATCCACCACCACGACGCGCGCACTCCCCCCAAACCGCGCACCCCCGGTCCCGCATCCCCCACCAAACCGCACATCCCGATCCCGCACCCCCCCAAATCGCGCACCCCTGGTCCCGCACCCCGACTCGCGCACCCTCCCAAACCGCGCACCCCCGATCCCGCATCCCGACCTGCGCACCCCCCCCAACCGCGCACCCTGGGTCCCGCACCCCGCGCCCTGGGCACTCTCGCCCCCCGCATCCCCGGTCCCGCACCCCCTCACCCCGCACCCCTCGCACCGTCACGGGACGCGGCGGGGACCCCGCGCATGCGCCGCGCGCGCGCAGGGCGCGGGGGGCGTGTCCCGAGCGCTGTGGGCGGGGCGGAGTCCCGGGGGTGGGGACGATGCCCACCCGCCTCCCCCCGCGCGTGCGCCCTGGGCGCGGGGGTTACGTAAGGCGAGGGACGTTCTGGAAGGTTCTGGGCCGGCCCTCAGTCGCTGCCGGGCGGCGGGAGCGAGCGGAGCTTTTGTCTCGGGGCTCTGTCGCGGTCGTATCGCGACTCTTTCGCGGGTGGAGAAGCGTGGCCCGGCGCTATGGGGGTGACTCACGAAGCGGGGCTCTCCCCTCAGGACCCGTGCGGGGGCAGCCCGGGCGGCTGGAGCCGGTGAGGCGGCGGAGCGGGGCGTTGGGGGACCAGGGCCGGGAGAGGCCGTTCGCGGTGGCCGTTTGCGACCGTTCGTGAGGGGTGTGAGGGACACGCATCGCTCACGGGTGGGTTTTTTTTATTTTCTCCCTTACAGGAGCGCCCAGGTGCCTCACGAGAACCAGCACCAGGGGGGCCCGGCCGCGCCCAGCGGTGAGTGCTGGGGACAGAGCCCGGGCAGAGCCCTGAGCGCTCGGGGTGGCACTGGGGGGGGGGCGTGTGCGGTACCCGCGATGAGTCCGGGATGAACCGGGTTGTAACGGGCTGGGAAGGGGGATTTGCGCTGGGAAACTGCACATCGGAATTTATCTTGCTGTGCCACGTACAGCGCGAGTGACCTTGGCCCTGGCGTAGAGGTGAAGTAGTGAAACTTTAGCTGTAGTAGTACCGAGGGAAGTGGCGTCTGGCAAACCCTTACAGAGCTTAAATTACAGATTCCAGTAACGGTTTTATATTTATTTGCTAACTTTGCATTGAGCAGCGACTAGGAATTTTTGGGTTAAAGCAAGCTTCCTCAAGCTGTACAGTGGTTACGTAACTCAGGGCTTAAGTCCTGTGATAAGATCCTTACACTCGTGTAACCTTTGTAGCTATAAAATGGCTGCCGCTAGAGGGACAGCCATTTTAATTATTAATATATAACAAGTGTTCTGTACAAGTGGTGTCTGGTGAGTCACCACCTGTATTTTTTACTATCTGTGTAGAACATTTTTAATAGCAGCTCGCTGTGTACACTGCTGGAATGGGTGGAGCTCTGTGCATGGAGTTTTTTTATAAGATGATATGGTCAAGATCTTGAAGTGGCTGCTTTGTACCTTGAAGGTACTTTTATTTTGCCTCCTCTTGGAGTAAATCAGTTTGTACTGATCTGGAAGGCAAATGGTTATTTTGCATCATAGGTGCAATAGCCTGCATTTAGAGTTAAAATAAAAGACTTTGAAAATTCTGTTTGGAGCAAAAGGGTATTAACTTGTACCATTTACACAAAAGGAATTACACTTAAAACCTGCACAAACCTACCTCTCTCCAAAATTCCACGCAGAACTACTCATGGTTTAAACTAAAGCTATACTTTCATATTTCAGTCTTTTGACTGACTACAGGTGAGGAAATTATGAAACAAAACTGTCATGTGCAAAACATGCTGGTAAACTGGCTGAGGACTGTTAGTGTGTTTAATTATCCTTGAACTTTTTGCCTGTGTGTCACCGTGTTTGTCGTTGCTGTGTAAATGACTCGATGCCCATGAATAATTAACTTCCTCCACCCCACTCAACAACAGGAACAGAGACTGGGCATTGCAGAACAGCAGTAAAAACAGAACCAGCTTGTGAAAGCACCTGCGTGCAGAAAACGGAAGACATGACGGGTTTCATGGATGACTTGACCCTCAGCTCTCCGAAGAAGAGAGAGACGTCCGTGAGATCCAAGAGGAGCTGTGACAGGTCATCAACAAGGTCCTCCAGCAGATCCTCGTGCAGCTCACGGTCCAGCTCCAGCAGCTCCTCTTCAGCCTCCTCGCGGAGCTGGAGCCGCTCCAGGTCGAGGTCCCGGGCCCGAAGGAACGGTTCCCGCCGGTACCGGAGATACTCCCGCTCCTACTCGCGGAGCCGCTCGAGGTCGCGCGGGTACCGCCGGTACCGGGGCAGGTACCACGCCAGGCACTACCGGAGGTACCGCCGCTCCCCCCCGCGCTACCGATCCCGCAGCAGGTCCTGGTCCCGCGGCAGGTCCTACTACAGAAGGTCCTACTCGAGGAGCAGGTCCCGTTCCAGAGGCCGGAGATATTACGGATTTGGGCGAACCATATATCCCGAGGCTTACAGGAGCTGGAGGAGCAGGTCACGGACACGGTCCCGCAGTAGGTCACCTCTCCATCTCAGTGAGAAAGGTACTTTTCTTGAGACTTTTCTGTGTGAGAACCTCAAACTGTACAGCTTTCTTTAACCAGTCCAGTTCTGCTTTGTTTACTTGCTTTATAGAGCATAATTTATAATGGCACTGTAGAAGAAAACCTCTGGTTATAAAAACGTATTTAACAAACAGAGTAGTTCAGAGCACATTTTTTGCACTTGAACTCAAGCTACATCTCTCAAGGTCTGATGAAATTCATCACAGTTGATGCTTACATAGATGCAGTGATAATAAACCTGCAGTTTTTAGGCTTGTGTGAGTAGGTAAATATGGATTTAAATATAACACAAGGCACTTCTTTTTTTTCCTTCCTCTTTTAGACAAGAGGGAACTCCTGGAAATTGCGAAAGCCAATGCTGCCAAAGCTCTGGGAACAGATAACATTGTCTTGCCAGCGAGCTTGAAGATCCCTCCTCCTGCCAAAGAGATAAAAAATGAAAAACAGGAGCGGGAAGAACCTGGAGAGTCAGCTGAGGTAAGTATGGACAGGAGGGTTCTCACTGAAAAGGTAAACACTTCTTAAAACTTGTCTGCATGGATGTGTTCTAGTTTAACTGTGGAGTTTGTGATTAAGAATTCAAACTCTTGAACAACAACTGCTCTAGAAAACCTCTAGACTTTGCCTTAAGCTGGAAGCACAATGGACCTGTGAGAGGTGGTTGATCCTCTTGAGCCTGTGCAGGCTGTCCAGTAGTGACAGGTGGGGAAGGAGAGGAGAATGTAGCTTGTCCTTTTGACTTACTCTTTTAATGGGATATTGCCCATTAATCCAGCTAGTTTATGTCTTTCTGACCTAAACCAGGAGTCTCCTTGCCAAACCTAGTGAATAGTGTGGGGTTTTTTGTTTTTTTCTTTTTTAAGCTTAAATCTTTCTGCCTTTTTTTGAACTGTTAAAAGTTTTTCATGTGCAACAAACTGTTTCCCAGAAATTCCATACGCAAGCACACAATGCATTTTACATACTTTATTTCTGTCTTATAGAAATCATGACTATGGTTCCAGACATGATGAAGAAAATCTGGTGGTAATTAAGGGACTTGTGGGCTGTAGCTGCTGTGAATTTAAGGGAGGGAGAAACTTGAGCAGCTTAAAGTGAATTTTAGCCTGGTTGTGTTGTAGTGTGTTAACCTGAGTCACGGTAAATACAAACCTGTACATGAGTCAGATGCTGCTGTTACAAATGGAAGTAAATTTACTAAGGGTTTTACACAAATGGTACAGGCATCCCTTTCATAAATATATGCAATATATTCCAGATGTTGAGAGAGTACAGAAGAAGAGGCCTGCATCACTTGCAGATAAGTTTATTGTCATTATCCAAAGCTCTGCAGGATGGTTATGCAGAACTTAATGCCACTTGCTCTGTCACTGCACTCGTGTGACAGTTCATGCTGTGACTGTTTGAATCCTTAAAAACTGTAACTGGGCTGTGGATATCACGTCCATTCACACCCGAATTGGCACAGCCACGTTGGTAAAAATACTGAATGCATTTCCAATTGGGTTCAGCATTGCTCTGTTTGCATATCCAGTAGCTTTACAGCTACTTTTGATGTAAATATCTGAAACAACTCCATACCAGAAAGTTCATGCTCTGTAGTAACTGCCTGACCTTGCATGGGGTGATGTGTCCTCCCACTTAGGCTGTGTGTGCTCTTCTCTAGCAACCCAGAAGTGCAGCAGAAGACATGACCAAGACTGGGATGGAGAGAGCAACCATACAGAGGAGCATTTCCTTCAGTCCTAATGTAAGTGACCTCCCAAGATGGAATTCCAGTACTTCAGCCCCTCCTGTCTTAGGCTTTTCCCAGCTCTGGTTTCCAAATGAGTGATCTTAATCACGGTAACAAAATGAATGTAATGGTTCGATAATGACTTTTCCTGGAGGAGTTAATCAGTCCTTCAGCAGTAGAGCACTGTAAGCAGTGGATTTAAAATAGGTATTTACCTCTACACCTACTAACAGTGACTCTCTGTACTCTGCAATACACTTGAGAGTGATAGAACTAGATGAAACAAAGACTTAACAACTTGAACTAGTTTAAACCAGAACTTATTTCAAGTACTATGTTTTAGTAATGCAAACTTAGTAACTTCTTGAATCCTTTGTCAGTTAAGTGTATATAGTTGATATTATATCAGGTAGGCATCAGGTATTCCAAGAGCTGGAGAGAAAACATTTATATAATCAGTCCAGATAAATGTACTGGATTTGTACCCCTTGAGGGTACAGGTTTTTAATACAGGTTTTAATACCTTTTCCTACATGAAATTTTTTCTTTTCCAGAACACAATGGCAAAGCCAGCCCTGCAGAAGCCAGTGAGCCATGTTGTTAAGGAGCCAGTAGTTTCTCCAGCAAGAGAAGATGACAGGAAGGGAAGTCCCTATGGGCAGTGGGTTCCTGTCAAGAAGGAGGAGAAGAAAACATTCTTAAACTTCTCACCCAAAAGCACCCTGTTCCGGGCACGCTGATGGGATTCACTGACTGCAGCACTTCACATCCTTCAGTAGAGAGATTGCAAACTTTCTGATGGGGTTGAAGATTTGTTAATACTGAGTATTTATTTTGAGATTTTTAATTTTTGGAATCTAAGGTTTCTCTTTCAGATAGAGAGCACACTGATCCCGAAGCCACAGATGGGAATCTTGTGTATATTTGTAAATATTTTGTATTGCTTTATCGGACTAGACCTTGCAGGTGGGTAACTTTTTCTAAACCATAGTTGAGTAGCTGTTCTTTGGACACTTGGATTTACATTGTGTTGTAACTGTTTACTTCAAGTGAATAAAGTTTAGTTTTGCACTGGCTTAATGTGTGAAGTGTTAGACCTGTGTTATGAGTATGTCCTGTCTGTGATTTAGCTTTCAATTACCTGACTTACCACAAGGTGCAACAGAAGGTAGTTGTTGCATCATTAAAGCAGATCTTTATGCTGGAATAGTTCCTGCCTGGGCTGTGCTTAGTTCAGAGCCTTGAGCACCTTCCCTGGATATCCCTCTGGAAGTGGAAAGCTTGTGCAGGATGTTGTATGTGACTGCCGTAGGTGAAGTCACCGCCCTTCTCACTGTCCCTTACTGCACCGTGAGCAACTTGTCCCTTCTGCTCCTTCTAATGCTCGACTTACTGCAGGCTTGTTTTACTTAGTTGGTTTAAAACCAGCCCCTAAGGGTCACCGTGAGGCAGGAGGGGGAAGGCAGTCAGTGCAGGAGGGTTCATGCTGACAGGGTACAGGTTACGCTGCCTGTGATGACTCCACGGCTCAGCCAGACCTCTGCTCCGGGAGAAAAGGATGGGAGAAATCAACGGGCTGTTGCATGGACTTGGTGCAATTGGTTAAACCTGGGTTTTGTATAAATAAATTAGTAAAATAAACTGAATTTGACTATTTGTGTCTGGAAGCTTCTTTGAGGAACTGTTAAATGGCCAAGCCGAGGTTGGCAGTGCACAAGGGCTCATGTTTCTCTTGGCCCTCGGGGAGGGTGGGCAGCTCCAGCCTTGGCATGTGACAGCTGGGAAGCTGTTTTTTCATGGGAATGTCACTTCACCTTCCTCACCTTTCATCTTGTTGATAATCTCCCACTACTGAAGAACAAATACCAACCCTTAAATTAGACTAAAGCTGGTCTTTATTTAGAACACAAGATTGCGTGAGCTGGTTACTCCTGCAAGTAAAAGCAGTGTACAGCTGCAGTTACACAAATCACTTCTACTCCATTAAACCCACCACGGATTCCAGAAAGCGACACCTATAATGCTTTTTCTTATAAAATTGCCTGTAGCATTTGCACTCCCCTTGCACACAGCCAGGGCTGTGTGCTGTGGCCCAGGAGCTGCCTCAGACGGCTGTCCCTCTCTCCAGGTTCTGTTTGATCTCGGCCGTGTACTTCCCGTAGAACCTCTCTGCCTTCTGGTTGAACTTGGCGTTCCTCTCGTTGATGTAGTCGATGTCGGCGTCGTCGTTGTAGGGTCGCCGCCGGCTGTACTTCTCCCGCTTCTCGATCCTGGAAGGCAGTAACAGCACCCATGGGGCACCCCTGGGCCAGGCCTGGGCGTCCCACTGCCCAGAGCTGCTCTGGCACACGCCTGGCCCCGGGGTTTACTTACTGTTTTTCAAGATCCGCGACCATTCTGTCAACCCCGTCCTTGGATGGCACGTGAGTTCCGTGGAGGAGGCTGTCGGAGGTGGGATAAAGCGCTTCCCCGCTGCATGAGGGGAAGAGGGGCAGCAGGTTACACAACTATTGGCTGCTTTGAGATTTTATAGAATCCCAGAATGCTTTGGGATGGAAGGGACCTTAAACACCATTCTTTTCCAACAGGTCACACATTCCACTAGCCCAGGTTGCTCCAAGCCCCGTCCAACCTGGCCTTGGACACTTCCAGGGATGGGGCAGCAACAGCTTCTCTGGGCAACCTGTGCCAGGGCCTCTCCACCCTCACAGGGAAGAAGTTTGAAGAAATGAACCTCATTAATTACTCCACTACCCGTGAGCCCCCTGAAGCAGGGATGGCCGAGTTGATTAGCAGTCCATACTTTAATACCATGTTAAAGACTAATTAACATCACAGGGCACACGAGATTGTGCATGTGCTGGAAAGATTTAAGTCTCCAGTGTTTGCTACTGGTTTGGAAGTACCACAGAACTTACTATTGCTCCTTCAGCTTCTCGTACTGCTCCAGGTCAGGTTTGATCTGCCGCGTCAGCCTCTGGTACTGGCGCAGCTGTGCCGCTGCGTAATCTGGGAACAGACGGTGTCAGGGTGAAGGGCTTTATCTCATGGTCCAGTTTTCACCCAGTTTTCACCCAAAACACCAACACAGGTGTCCATTCCGGACACAGCTGCGTGGTCAAGCCGTTACCTGAAAAGCCCAGGTCGGGATTTTTCTTCTTCTTTTTCCTCTCCCACCTCTCGGCGTCCTCAGCGCTGATCTCCAGCAGCTTGACTCGCTCATAGTCCTCTCCTCTCGCTGCACATTCCTGACACAGCACAAGGGACACTTCAGTTTCAACAATGAGCCAGTGGCCAAGCCTAAAACTCAGTTGCATCTCCCTGGATCAGCCCAGTCAACCTCTGGAGCAGGACAATGATTTAGATAATCAGCAGCCTAATTAGGATGTGGATTTTGGGGGGGTAACATCAGTGTAAGCTCCCAAGACTGCTGAGCCACCATGAAGTGTCACTGCAGGCACCTGGGCTGTGGCTCCACAAGGTCATGGGGAGCTGTAAAGGTGTCTTTACCTTCTTCTTTTCCTGCACCTTCAGCTCCCACTCCAGCCGAGCTTTTTTAGCTTCCCAGTTTGGTGGCAATTTAAGTCTTTTGTCTTCCTCTACCACTTCTTGGCTGTTCAGCTTGCAAGCCTCATACTGAGAATGAAACAGGGCAACACTTGAGCACAGGAACAACAAAATTAGAACCCTTGGGGGGACATGGGAGCCCCCCTGGGAGGGGGCCTGGCCTCTGCTTCCTGAAAGCACCATGTAAACCAGAATCAGACAGGAGCTGGGTTTGGAAGGGACCTCTGGAGATCATCCAGTCCAAGGCACAGAAACGTGTCCAGGTGGGTCTGGAATGTCTGCAGAGAGGGAGACTCCACACCCTCCCTGGGCAGCTGTTCCAGGCTCTGCCACCTCCACGGAAAGAAGTTCTGCCTCATGTTGAGGTGGAACTTGTGGTTTAGTTTATGGCCATTGCTCCTTGTCCTGTCACTGGGCACCACTGAACAGAATCTGGGACCACCATCAGACACCCCTTGGAGATATTTGCAAGGGTTGAGGGTCCCCTCTCAACCTTCCCTCCTCCAGACTGACCAGGCCCAGCTCCCGCCGTGTCTCCTCATCCCAGAGAGGCTCCAGACCCCAAATCATCTCTGCGGCCTCCGCTGGACCCTCCCCAGCACCTCATCTTTCCTGCACTGAGCAGCCCAGAACTGCACACAAACAAACGCAGGGCCAAGCAAACCTCCCTCCCCCCTCCCGGCCATGTACCGGAGGGGGCTCCGGGACCGATCCGTACCCGCTTCATGTGGAGCTCCCGGAACCGGCGCAGCCGCTCCTCCCGGCGCTGCTCCGCCGCCGCCGCCGCCGCCGCGCTGGGGCCGGCATCCTCCTCCTCCGAGGAGCTCTGAAACAACGCGCACTCAGCCCCGGGAGGGAGCCGGGGCCCCCCGTCCCGCCCCGCCCGGTGCCGTCCCGTCCCGTCCCCCCCTCACCCCTCCGTCGCCATCGGGGATCCCCAAATTGCTCAGCGACGACACGGCCGCCGCCATCGCCGCCCGCCCGCGCTTCCGGCTTCCGGCGCGGCCCGCAGGGCGCCCCCCAGCGGACGGGAGGTGTTGCCGCCGCCCTCTGGGTATTCGGAGTGTCCCGGTATTCGGGAGCCACGGGAATAACATAACTGAGATTGGAAAAGGCCTCCGAGGTCACCGAGTGCAACCTTTTCACGAGCACCCGCTTGTCACCCAGACCGGAGCGCTGAGTGCCACGTCCAGTCGTTCCTTGGACGCCTCCAGGGGTGGGGACTCCACCACCTCCCTGGGCAGCCCCTTCCCATGTTTGACATGGAAGAAATTTCCATGAAGAAATTCCTCCTGATGTCCAACCTGAGCCTCCCCTGGCACAGCTTGAGGCCATTCCCTCTCCTCCTGTCCCTTGTTCCCCGGGAGCAGAGCCCGACCCCCCCTGGCTCCCCCCTCCTGTCAGGGGGTTGCAGAGCCAGAAGGTCCCCCCTGAGCCTCCTTTTCTCCAGGCTGAGCCCCCCCAGCTCCCTCAGCTGCTCCAGCCCCTTCCCCGGCTCTGTTCCCTTCCCTGGACACGCTCCAGCCCCTCAATGTCCTGCACTGGGGACCCCAAATCTGCCCCCAGGGCTGGAGGTGCCCCAGCAGTGCCAGCACAGGGGGACGGGCACTGCCCTGGCCCTGGGACACACCAGTGCTGGGACAGCCCAGGGGCAGTGGCACCACCTGGGCACACCTGGGCTCGGGTCCGACCACTGTCACCAGCACCCTCAGGTCCTTTCCCAGTTTTCCATTCACTCTTCCCCCAGCCTGGAACACTCCATGGGGTGACCCAAATGCAGAGATATCGAAGTGCAGACACTGGGTAGGGAGTTACTGCAGCCTTGAAGTGACTCCATGGGTTAGTAACACTGTAATAAACGTGTTTTTTTTCCTTTTCCAAGGATTCAGTGAGGTGATGCAAACTTTATAGTCAAAGTAAGGAAGCAACACGTGAACCAGATGAACTCAGGGTGTGTTTGGAAACACTGGTGAGTTCCAGGGCAGAGCCTGGTGCAGGATGAGAAACCAGTAACAGCCTCTCCCTGTGCTGCCCATCCCCTGGGAATCCTTCAGTGACCCACAACAGGTTTGCTCAGGGGGAGACTTACAGCCCTCACAGAAAACAAAACGTTTTACTGCAGCTTCTGGGAAAAGAAAGTCAAAATTTCCATAACATTGCTGCAGTGGCCTGGATCTTCCAGCCTTAAAAAACAAATGTAGCCTTACTATAAACGTTTATCACTAATATTGATGTGCACATGAAATGCGTCTGTGTGTAAAGCCTTTATATCTGCACAGCAAAGGCAGGAGGGCTCGGGACTTCTGTTTTTCTTTGAAGAAAGGCTTCAAAACCTGCAGGTTTATAAGTGCTGATGATTAGTTTGGTTTTTAAGTTCTCCCTTGTCAGCTGTGGCTCGTGACTTCCCAGCAGAGGGAATCGCAGCCCAAGCGATGAGGGGCTGTGGCCGTGGCAGGCAGCCCTGGCAAACCCAGCCTGTCTCTGTTCTCTTTTAACTTCACTTTCTTCTGCTGCCAAGCTCTGATGCATGCTGAGTGATTAAAAATATCAAATGCAGCCTTACCCAGCGAGGAGTCAAGTCCAGGGGGGAAAGAAAGAAACCCAGCCCCGTGAAGGCAGTGCTGGAAAACAGAGCAGAGGAAAGAATGGGAGGCAGAACGTTTTTATACAGTCCTATTGGCAATATCCTAAGGAAAAGGAGAGGATTGTCCCCACGTGGTTTGGGTGTTGAATGTCTCCCCTCACCTGCTCTCTCCACATCCCTGCTGAAAGTTGTTAGATTTTCATGCACAGGGAGCAAACTGCCACCACCACTGGTGCTGGAATTCTGAAAGAAGCCTCCAAGGAAGGGGTTGATGTTGCTGCACAGTAAATTGGGGAGCGTTTTTGTGCTGTCAGAATCCCAGTTATGTGCTCGGGGCACGGCTTTATCCCTCTGGAGCTCCCGGCCCCTCTGCCATGAGGTTGTTGCCACATTTGGGATCAAAGAAGTTTTGGGAGCAGGGAGAGATGCTGGCTTGGCTCTCCGGTGCATGAAATACTGCACCAGCTCCCTCTGCAGGTCCCACCT